ATACATTGTAGCATTATCTCTTCACAAAACTTTCGCCCTACCTTTAATATAAGTTGGATTGTCTCTCCGATGATTGGCCAGCCCATATTTCCGTCGGGGAGTGGGGCTTGGAACGTTTTGTCATACTGCATGTTATGATAAATATTCCAAATGTACTTGATAGCGCAGAGTAGAAAGTACAGTACAAGAAGCACTGACATCAAATGCACAGAGGCAGACGACACCGAGGCCCACATTGAAGAAAACATCATTTGCCATGCACGTCGGTATCAGAGTGTAAAATGACAAGTATTTTGCGTTTTTTATAGGAAGATTATGATTCAGATTTGACTACGTGATTTGGATTATCGCGTGTAAACCGTGGATGATTTGTAGTGTGTTCACTGTTGTGTGCATTTGGTACTATAAAATTCCTTCTTTCATGCATAAAGAAAATTCAGAAACCCTATTATATAGGATTCCATGGTGACTGCTCCCCCAAACAATACGAACTCTAACGAGATATTCGTCTCCTTTATCTTCGTCAAGGGTAACGATGCCATTTGCATTGTTTCCAGACTTTGAAGTTGGATATAAATATTACGTGGAATAAAAATATTACATTGTTAGTAATATATTGCGAGATTTGAATTTGCTACTGCAGCGTATTGTGAATTAGGAAGTGCATTCACCTTACCGTCCACACACATTCATACACATAAAGCATCGAACGTTGTACAATTTGCATAACTGTCTACACGCAATACCCGGTAGGCCTATTTAAAATAAATAATGAAAAAAAACAACATTGTCGTGAAAGTTTGCGACACAGCGGTTGGGTTTTGGCTTCAATGGACATTCATTATTATTATGCTGCTGCTGCTGCTGCTGCTGCTGCTGCTGCTGTTGTTGTTGTTGTTGTTGTTATTATTATTATTATTATTTTTATTATTATTATTATTATTATTATTATTGTTATTATTGTTATTATTTTTATTATTATTATTGCCGCTAACTGCCGCCCATTGGATATTATTGTTAAGTTGCATGCACCTTAAACAATGTGAACGTGATCTTGCGTGTTTGTGGGACATGCGCGTATACCTCTATTCTGAAACACGCTCTGCTTGGTCTTGTGTATAATGATCTATCTAATGACTAGGATAGCATAGAGACTGCTGTGGATTCCCAATAAAAAAAAATCCTAATCATACAGTGGGCTACAAGCATGCCCTTTAAAAGCAGCCACATGAATTTTCCCCATCCTTTTCCCATCCCTTGAATTCGGCACCGTGAGCCGAGGTTCCTGTGAGTAAACATGGTCCCCTGAAACATCACTGGTATTAAACCTAACGTTTATTTGAATCATGGCCTCTATTTACCAATGAAGTGAAAGGATAAACTTGTAGCTCATTCGTAATCCGTCTAAAATTTCATGGTCTGGTCATTAATCCAAAAGCTACTCCATTTGCCTGGACGTCCTGGTTTGTGCGCGTTTGCGCACATTCCAGGGCGTGTTGCGTTTCTTATACTACTGCGTCATATATCAATATCCTGATATCTGGTAAATTATTTTATGATCCACATAATGTGCTAAATTAGGGTCTTCTAAATAGGAAAGATTTCTTCCTTGTTTTAAAAAGAGCTGAAAAACTCACTGTGCACTTGTATAGCACATTATAACATCCGTCACCATCCCTTTCGAGAAAAACAGAAAATAACGAAACCAAATAATTATACAAACATATTTATCTGTATACGGTGACCTTTATTGCACTATACATTATATTATGCCTTAATAAACACTGTGAAACCAAAAACATCATACGTATTGAGAAGCAAGCGAGTTGTAGTAATGAGAAAATCTGTTTTCAAAATTTAAAATGAAAAAAAAAACAAAAAACGTGGGTCTAACTTTATCCGGAAAACTAAACTTGTTTTCATGTTAAATAAAAGCATGCTCCATGTGAGGAATGAGTAATTTGTGTTCCCCTGAAGCTATCATTTACAGTTACCAATACATATTTTTTTTTATAAATTTAAATAGAGTTTAAAAGTTATTTTTTTACATTTTCTATACACTCTACGGCAAGTAAAATTAACAAACGCATTATAAAAAAGATATATTTCTTTTTTTATATATATTTCTACCATTAGGTCTGGCAATATTCGTCTCGCAAGAGTTACTTAAGGTCACAATGAAGAATATTAACGAGATACATTATCCAATGAACACTTCATTTAACAGCTTCTCTGTATCATCATAATCGAGAACAGTTTGCCACACATTGTGTTACCAAGGAGCTATCGATTGCACGACGACGGCAAAATCTAGAACACAGTTACGTCACTACGCACATGCGAGGACGTTAAGTTCTCGATGTTTGAATTCTGGGACGCATTGTCCCCAATCTATTTTGCGCTGAGAAACGCGGGATGACTACAAACGACAGAATCTTTCAACACCATTTAGTCAGTCAATAGATATTTTACATAAGAATATATTTTACTGTGAAATTTATGTTGTTATTTTAAATAAAAATAATTGAATTAAATTAAAAATCATGGGGTCACTTACGTCGTTTCGCAACCGATAACTCCCCTCTTGATAAAAACTACGTTAAGCTTTAGTGGGAAAAGTTTTTAAAATACGATCTTGTTCGAGGAAAGAACGACCAAACCATGTATACTTATTAAACAGGCATCTGTATATAGTAAGTTCCCAAACACACGGTACTCTGTGTTTCAAAGTCGCCGAGGTTAACATCATGTACAAAATATAAAACCTCAATATATACAAATAATTTGTTTAAAAAAAACGGTTCTTCAATAACGATTATACAAGCTTAAAAAACTGACGAAATAAAAAACAAAATAGGCTCCCAGCGGGAGCGTGCGTCTATGTCCTATACAGCCTTACTGTATTATGTTTACTAATAGAGTATCCACACGGAAATGTGTGGTGTTGTATGACTTTTATACAGTAATAAAGTACTTAAGATGACACATGACCCATCATGCACCTCCACCGGATTTACCCTTTCCGCCATCTTTAACTGCCAGATCATAACATACCGGTAGTGTCTTTGCCCTCGATGGGGCATAGACAAAAAAACCTATAAACATCATTTTGTTTTTGTTTTATATACGTTTTTGGGAGGTCATTAGCATACAAGGCTCCTCTCAAAGTGGATCAAGGTAGAAAAAAACTGGCATAAATAGGCATTATATACATAGAAACATTAAACACGTTAATAAAATCTTGATACTTTAAATATTTAAGAGAACCTACATATGCCGAGTTAATTGTCAAAATAAGCACGGATATGCACTCGTACGATCGCAATGATCCGTGTATACCAATGAACATAACAAACTATATCATTCGCATGCTAATGATATACTTGCATAATCACTTACTCTTTGCATAAATTTGCATACTGTATAGTTATAAATATTATGAAAAGAATCGTAGAAATTATTATTGAAATTGTATATAATTCTTGAATACCATATCTTATGCAACTAGCGAGTTAATAATGATGAAATGATAAGTGATCATCGACCATTGTGGATATATTATTTAATTCCAGTGAATGTATATTCTATTTACAAAAAAAACCCGTAAAATCACTTTGGTTTATACTCTAGATGATCCATCTATTTACAATAATAAACTTTGTCCTTTATTAATATAGTTTATCATATCTATTTCTAATAATTTAATACAAATGGAATAAAATATAATGTATACATTTATTCTTTATGAAAATCTTTGATGTGCGGTCCTGAATACAAAAATGTAAATTCGTCATGCATGACTGCGTTGCCCACGCGTCAACTGGTAGCATATTACTTCACATTTAATTCAATAATGAAGGCAATATGTCATCACGGCTTTTGTATCTATAGATGTTTTTGATATGATAATTAATATTGAATTTTGCTTTTGGATGAGAGTATGTTTTGTACATGGTAGGACCGACGTAATTCAGGTCATCAATCCATTCAATCCCTGATATGTTGTTTCCTACGCTGTTGACTGTCACTGCAAAGGGTTAAACATTTACTTTTTCCCTATATTGTCCCTGAGGATTTGAATAATAATGATAATGAGAATGCTGGCTCTTTCTAGTAATTATAGGCCTTATAATAATAAATAATAATTATCATAATTATAAAAATATTAACCAAAATATTACTAAAGTAAAAATGCTCAAACATGAATACGAATTAAGGTGTTTTGTGCCATATTATTACTTAGAAAACATTTTAAAATCGTATGAATTATGAACATGTATCATAACTTTCCATATTTTTGCAAGAGCGTGTATACGCCTATCCTTTTCAACGAGGTCGGGATACAATTACTTGTAGAATTTGACCAGAGAGCGTTTATTCATAGTGTTATGATAACATTTTGATTAACTCTATTGACAGCGCACATAACAATGTACCTGGGCAGTTGCTGTTAGACTAAAGACGGTGTAGATGTAACTGTGCTGTTCGGACCGATCTCATCTACGTGGAGGTGGACACACTGGACATTCGCATTTGCATCAAGATTGTCTACTCTCGAGAATTTTAAAACAAGCCCGTCGGTTGGACGTGGGACTGGTAAGTACGTCATTTTGACGTCACCTGTCGTCGCCCTCTCCCAGTGACAACAGCGAACCAACTCGACAACTAATATTTTCAAAACAAGATGTGCGTAATCTTTCCCAACACAGCTTCGAGGTCCTCCTCCAAACACGCAGTAGTTATGCTTACCAATCTTATCTTCCTTCCTTGCATCAGAGAACCGGTCCGGATTAAACTCTTCACTGTTCTCGAAGACAGTCGAGTGAGACATAGTTTCACGAATGCTATAAAGAACCGTCCATCCTTTTGGAATCTGTTTACCCTGCAAAATAAAGAGATTGATCAACAGTTACTTAAATGCGACACCACAAACGTCTCTCTTGGTATCGATTTGTTATCACTATCACAATTCGCTGGTCGGTGACCCGAATGATACAGTAGGTAAAGCTGCATTCACACCGGATCCGAATTTTCGGATCGGAAGGCCTACCGAACCGATCAGAAAATCGGATCAGTGTGTTTAGTATACGGACGCTGGGCGTTCAGTGCATCGGAAACGCGTTCCGACTTTCGGTTCGGATCCGATGTGAATGCAGCTTAACCCTGTGATCGGCGGGTGGGCTATCACTCTTCATGATCATAACCACCTCTACCAACTATGGCGCGTTGTACGCGCGTAAGCAGTATACGGTGCCCTAAAGAAGTCAGCGCTCATGGTGCTGTGAACTAATTGATAGCCAATAAAAAACGGTGAGTTCACTACTAGGTGATTGTGAGTTCAAAAATCGAATGGGACTTGCAAAACAACAATTGTGAGCCAACGACGAAAAAACATACTTGTCATGCGGAGAACGCGCTTTAAGGCGCCTCTATAATATTATATGAAAACATTATTGAGCGTGTACGTATTAGCTGGTGCTGATTATGGAATTATTAAAGAGGAATGTCGCATACATGAGAATTACACCAAGTGTCTTTGACAGTAATGTACTGTACATTTCCAAACAAAATTTAAAAAAAAACAAAAAAAAAACGAGAAAATGGAAATCAATGTAATAATCACCTCTAAAGTGAATGTTTTCTTAACCTCTCGGAAACCGCCTCCAACGGGTGGTGACATGCGCAGACTTTCTTTTACTACGCAATTGAGGTATTTCAATCTCTGTATGTCTTCGTAGGTCAGCAAATGGTTCTTGTCCATGAGATCACATGCAAGAATTTCCTCTTTGATACGTTTTAAGACCTCTGGATATTTTGTCAAGTTTAAGAGGAGCATTGTGGAGGCGCTGCTGGTAGTGGAAAAGCCGGAGAATAGAAGCTCGATCGTGACATTAATTATCTGTTCGTTGGTCAGTTGGATGTCATCCTCGGTTGAATCGTTGATGTACTCCATTAAGATGGAGAGTGCATCTTTGTGATCATTGGTCAATGGCATCTCGCGCTTCATTCGGATTTTGCTCTCAATCCGTTGTAGAATGATATCTCTGGCATTCTTAGCCTACGAAAAGTATTAAACAATAAACCATAGTCATGTTGACCAGAGAGCGTTTATTCATAGTGTTATGATAACATTTTGATTAACTCTATTGACAGCGCACATAACGATGTACATGGGCAGTCATATTATATTTAATTCTGGCTTGTGAGCCCACTTGTGTGCGCATGTTTTAGTTACCTTGTTGAAACCGGAGCCGGGAAAATTAACAGGCAGGGTAAACATGTTATCCATCATAGTCCGAAAAGTCTTAGTCAGTGCGTGTGTTTCCTCGGTGGAGTAACTGAATCCACAAAGGGCTCGGCCGCTTATCCTAAAAAGCAAATCTCCAAGTTCTTTATACATTGTCACCGAAGGCTGTTTGCACCACACACCTATCGTCCTGGATATTTCACTCTGAATGTTAGGAACGTACGAAGCGAGCGCACTGTGTCGAAACGCGCGCATAATCTTCCGGCGCATGGCTACGTGTCGGGTCCCGACAGACTGGCTAAGAGCATGTTTGCCGAGTATAAGTGCTGTCGATGTGGGTAAGGATGGGAACAAATACTCATTCTCCCCCTGGAAGATCTTCTGTAGATTCTCCCTGCCATAAATACGGATGACTGGCTTGCCGAGAATGTGTGTCTTAAAAATTCTTCCGTGTTTTGCAAATCGGTTCTTGTAGAAGTCTACATTCTGTAAAAGTATGAACAATGTTTTTTGAAATATACCTTATCTAATGAAAATTAAAAAATAAATAAATAAAAGCAGGCCAGCATAATTATATGGCGATAACATGATACAAGATGCTAATCCGTCTGACTTTACATTTGGGTAAAAATTCTCACAAATACAATAAAATGATAGGCCGTTTATGTAAGTTTTTAAAGTTTCAATAACTTTTTGATGTTTTACAGGACTTTTTACTGCAAAATTCTTTTTTATTTAACTGTTTACTAGTAAATTAAAGGGTTTATTTTAATCGTTATAGACATAGCATAATTATTTTCGTTGCGTCTGTTATTTCACCGACTGTTATGGTTGTAGCTTTAGTACGGAATGGCGGCCTTTATTATTTGTATTTTAAATATTTCTTCAGAACAACCTACACATACACACCATTAGCCCCGCTTATCTTCCTGCGATACATCAACCTTGTTCGGTAGCAATTTCATTAATATTATTTTTGATTAATTTTTGACAGTGACGTTCTTTTCGATAAGAATTCTCGTCGTAGCTATCTAGTATGTGGGGGGTCGAGATGTGACCCATATCTGGTACGTTCTGGTTTTTCATAGAAAAGACGACGATTTGATAGGATACTGGCTATTACGTCTAACACACAACTCTTCCGCAACATCAAACGAGTTAATTAGATGTAATCTACGGTGTCTATCATAATTAGAGAAGATTTCACTGAAATAGCAACATTATGTAGGCCTTTGTGTTTATAATAGGAGAATCAAGAGAGGGTATCTATTTTCCTTTCTTTCCCACTTTGGCCTATATGCATGTATGTATATATATAGGCATATATATATAATTATATATATATAGGCCTATATATAGGCCTATATATATGTATATTATATATATGTTTATAGCAGTATATATAGCAGTAAATTTATGAAGAAATAATTTTTTTTTTTTGGACTCCGCTTTTCTTCCACATATTTTAGGCTGTTTTGCTGGGCCCGTTCGGGTGCCTCAACAGTAAGCCACTGATCGTGTGTTTCAATGATTAGAACACTCAAGTTTGCTTCAAAATATGAATCAATTAGTAATTACTGAACTACACACATGCGCAGATTGTCTTCATTTAAAATTGCATTGCTCGTCCCTTGTTGCTTACCCTCAGTATCGATCACCGGTTTGTTTGAGTGATACCTATACATTACGGTATTAATTATGGAACAAAACATATTGGTGCTCGAGAAAAGTTTTGGGAATTGTTAATACAAGGCAACTGTCTCTGATTGGTTTTCTGAAACTGAATTAAATATTAAACCAAATCGAGTGTTTAATCTAACTACTTGTACGTCGGTACACTTACCCAACTTTGAACTTTGAGAAAAGATACATTTAGTCAACTTAAGATAAGGTAAAATGTAACTAACATTGAACAGCGGGACACTGAGTTTCTTTTTTATACCAAGAGCTGTTAAAGTGTACCCTATCGAATGTCAAAATATAGTTATAGAGATGCTTGTAGAATTATTTATCTGACAATATTTTCAAAATAAATTTAAAAGATCTGAATTCTTAGAATGTTGGAGCGTCGGATGTCCCCACCCATTCTCCTCCAGCCAACTTTATTCGTCCCATCGCTCACTCAATTCCCGATAAGGTATAGCCTAACACGATCGAGGTACAGTGAACGTAACAGAGTGCTGTACATATATCGTTTGTATTCGATAAATCTTTTAGTGTTTAAACCGTAAGAAAAGAAGACAAATATCAACATAAACCCTATCTTCTATATTAATGCAGGTTTGATAAATACGCGTTCAATCTTTCAAAAACATCAAATAAACATTTATATTTAAAAATATTACCATAATGTAACAAGTACAAACAACGGCATTGGATACTCAGATGTGTATAAGAGAGGTATTGTGCATGAAGCGCTATATAAGACCGACATATTATTATTATTATTATTATTATTATTATTATTATTATCATTATATTCCTGAAGAACTAATAGTTTTGGAACTTACCTGAACAATAAGTTGTAAAGTTTCTCCAACAAACGGCCATCCCATACTACCGCACGGTAAGGGGGCATCGCAAGACGGGTCCGAGTTCATATTGTAGTATTTTGCCCAGAGAAGTTTCATAGTAACCAGAAGTAAGCATGGCACGGTAATTTGAATAAGGAGCATCAGCATTCCCCCGGCTGCGTCCACGGATCCCGTTGCTAACATCATTTTCTTTTTAAAAGCTGTGTGACGGCAAACGAAATAAATAACAATTATGTCTTATTTTTCGTCTTTGTATATATCTCAACGTTTCCTCGTTTGAAAATCAAAATAAAATTCGTTCCTTAATAACAGCTCACAGTGGTCTAATCGGCATGGGAGTGTGTTAGTCGTGTTTATACTAGTGATTGTTGTGGCATTTTTTTGGTAAGAACCCCGATTCAACTTAATATTTGAAAAAACCACGCCTACTACACGATGTTTCAGCCAATTAGCGTGCAGTGTGTGGCAAGTGATTCAAACACGCACTTCAAGGATAGTATGACGTCACTGGGCGGACGGGAAGGTGAAAAGGTGAATATAACTATCATAATCGTTGTAAAGGGCATTGCCTTTAACCTTTGCTTCTCAGTGGACATTTGAAAAACTATTTAACCATCAGGAATCTTATAATAATGAATGAAAAAACGAAGGTGACAAAACGGGCAATCGGAAAGATTGAGCATGAAACCTATTCGATGACCGGCGGAGAACTAAAGCGCAAGGGCGCCGCTTTACGGTGAACACTAGCTTTATTCAAGACAATAATATAAAATAGAATAACTTGAAAGGAACATGATATTGAATCGATATTATTGCTTATAAAATGATTGGTCACTTTATGAATATTTAATAAGAATCTGTACCATCTTAACTTTTTATTTAAGTATCAATCTATAATAATTCCATTAATAACGCGCGCAAAAATTGACCATATACTACGGGTTTTTTTTTTTTATTTATTTTTTTTTTATTTTTTAATCAATTTATTACCTTTTTAAATTCATTCTCAGTTTCTTGTTACATTTAAACAAAATACTAAAACAAAAAAATACTGTAGGAATGATGGGAAGCTTCGATCGGTAAATGTAAGTTAAACAGCCTTATTTTAACAGCAACATTAGGATTAGCAGCGTTTAACACAAGACGTTTGAAAGCTTATTTTTCTGCATTTCTCCAATAAAATATATTCAAAAGTATCTCTTAGGAGAGATCATATCTTGACGTTTCAAATCTCCGGGATGAGGGCGTAACACATTGATCTCTGTTATGTAAATGATTGAGAGTGCAGCTAGTGTTCTCTCGCATTTTCAATGGAATAATTTGCATCCAATCGAATGAGTTCACCACGATGCCTCGTCTGGATATACAACAGGAGACCAGAAGTTCAGTCCCCAATATGGGCGACATTTTCACTCTTGCAGATTCCTAATGTGTAAATCATTATACTTTGTCCAGATTATCACATTTTATTGGACACAAAAGTTGCATGCCTATATATAGTAATAATGCGGCTATATATGGTCATCAATTGTGATGTCATAATAGCCATATTTAGGTATGTCACATGATTTTGTCAAATCAAATTTTGATAATCTGGACGTGGCATAACCTTTACTTACGGTTTAACACGGCGAGTCATTGCGTAGGTGAAAATGGGACAAAACATGTGATGGAACAACATGGTGAATAATTGCGTCTCCTTTGCAAATTGCATAAGTTATGTTATTCACACCTGATTTCTTTTTCTACGTTTTTAAATGACTTTGTGGTGGGAAAATGTTGATTTATGTAGGTATATGACGTCATAAATTGAGTGAACGGTGCATGAGAGTGATAAACAGGTCATGTGATCGTTGACGCGATAAGTTGTCGTCTAGCGCAAACACATAAAATATTACTCCCCAAACTGCTATTACAACTATTTTCTTGCTAGTTTATTGCTGATTACAACTATTTTCTTACTGCTTTATGGTTCGCAACATAACATCATACTGGGCAGAACAGTAATTATTCCATAACGAGAATTTCACCGGGACTAGGCTTCAACCGAAGTAGGCCTGTGTTTGTGATTAACTGATTAACTTATTTCTTTTTTTTTTATTTGTACAGTTTTGAAGACAACAATTTAGATAAAAGAATAATAGTTCACTTAAATCTTACTCTTGTTACTGATGATCATAGCCTCACAAACAACACGAAAACACCATTAAGGGCACCCGGCTCCCGTTCCCTTTGCTGCACGCACCTCTTGCAGTTAGCCCCCGTGAACATTGTTTACAGTCAAATAATCTTTAATTTTAACACTTTTGACAGACCTAAAGTTTACGAAGGATTCGAATGGTGCCGTCGAGATTACTTTGTTGACATGTTGTTATCGACGTTATCCTAACTAAACTCCTCGACTATATGAGAGCCTCGAACTCTCTCTCAATACACAAACACCTCGTACGAAGATTAAATAGCAATTACAAAATATGTATTTACATTTATTATTGTTATTATTATCATTCGCATCTGTTGCTGTATTTCATCCTTTAAATGACACGCGACGGAGTGTGTCTGTACCGTGTTATTATCCTGCCGACTGTGTACTTTGAAATTAACGCTCCGCGTTCATAGATTAAGTTGTCAAACGTGAAGACAGTTACACGCCAACAAGCGAAGGCAGTTTCAACGTTTTAAAAATTAGAAGACACAATCATTTGAATGACTCATTAGTTCGTTGTTTGCATAAGGAAACCGACTTATATTTTGTCTAAGCTCGAGTTGACATGGTAATCTATTAGATATTGACGCGGTCTAAAACATTATTTAATCTGTTCTGTCTATAGGAGCCAGATCATCGGATTCATAGGCCTATGTGGGTTTTATTCTAATTCACTTTTCATTGGCTGACGAACAGAGCTTTGACGAATGTTATAAAGAAGTCTGTAGTTCATGATGAACTATCTCAAGTCACTCCCTGCTCAAACTAAAAAAAAAATGAGGTGAGAAGTAAAGCTGAGGACTACCAGACTCCGGACGTACACACCTCTGCGCCACTTAGACAAAACTACCCTCGTCCTTACTCTGGAGATTTATAATATTCAGTTCGGATATGACGTCACAAGTCGGTCAGAACGCAATCATTTGATCAATGTCCAATAGTTCTCGGTGACCGTTTAAACTTTTGAACTCGTGCTAAATGATTTGTGAACAAGTATTTATACATTCGCGTGACTCCCACCGGAAAGATGCGACTGTGCCTGTATCAGGATCCTATGAATGGCGCCAAATTCACATGTTCGCGCCTAATTGTTCGCGCCTAATTACGTGCGATATGGCATTATATTAATTTGATGTCTGTTGACGTCAGTGCTGAGTGGGCCTCTGCTCTATTCTTTTAGAACTTTTCTGAAGAATAGTCACAGTAGGCCTAGAGCATGACGATACCTTCTTTTTTTAAGACTTGCGTATCCGTTGAAAAGCGTGGTACGATAAACCGTTGCCTTTTAGATTATTGGGCCTGACGTGAACTTGTCGGGCCAAAATCGGTATCAAGGATACATACCTAAAATAATTATTTCATATGCTTTTTAACGTACTCCAGCCCGAGTCCGCCTCGTCGTACCCTATTAATGCTGCCTCTCTCGAACCTACCCTGAACCGAGTTTCGCCTTCACACTGACGTCACCGGCGTACAGGAACCCCTCTACAAGGAGACGTGCAATACCGTATGCTTTATTAACATTACATAACCAAAAACCTCCGCTTGTTCTAATTGAGGTCATAACTTTATTACAATTTGAGGCAGTTCCTCGTCCCGGCCTCGCTTCAGAAGCTTATCCTTCTACACTACTTTTATTTATAGCATCCTCCTTGTGCGAACAATGCTTTAGTGTTTTCATCATGGCTAATTCAATATTCATAAAATAGCTTTTATTTATATTTATCATCAGTACTCACACCCTCTTATAACAAAATACATTAATTCCATAGATTATACCAACTACTGTTTCATAAGTACACAAGCCACTCTAAATTGTATAAACACACAATCACAATTTTGGAATTTAGAAATATAACTCCTCCAACAAACTTACAAAAACCATAATTGGCTCTTGAAAATAAAAGGACATGAGTTACACCACAAAACAATAAGACAAATACACTTCAAACGAAAACATAGGCCTACTTATAAGAACAATAATATATTAGTGACGAACGTAACACTAGGCCTACTTCAGAAAAGTAATACAGTACTGTAATGGTTATTATTCATTGCGTCAGTGCGTACTGATCATAACGTAATCTATGGCTCTCATATAATTGACTAGCCAGTTTGCTTGCGGTTGTGATCATTCTTTTTTCTTTTTCTTTTTTTAAATATAGGCCTATATATATATATAGATGTGTATAAGAGACAGGGCCTACAGACTATCGACCGAAAAACCATTTCGCCGAATGTCAGTTTGCCGACAGGACGAATCGTCGACGGTCAATTTGCAGCACATTGAAGCAATTTGTATTTATGCGCTATATGACTTACATAATTATTATTATTATTATTATTATTATTATTATTATTATATCAATCAAGTTTTCTGCGTAGCACCATAAACACAATGTAAACAAGTAGATAAATAATAACAGTTCTCAAATACATACATATATATGTATGTATATATATAGGCCCTTTATATATATATATATATATTTATATACATAATAATTATATGTATACTGTAGAGTTCTATTTCAATTTCTATAACAGCATATAAAGTAGGGCGCACATTAGCATGGCCCTACTTGTGAACACAATTCAGTAGCCTACGAAATGTATTACGAATCGCGATCGAGCACGTGCCCGTGCGAACAACTACAGTAATGTGAATGCGGCATAAAGAACTTAGAAAGTGATTACAGGCAGCAGCGGCGCGGATATCAAAATTCATCTGCAAATGTAAATCAATTGTAGCATTTGCTGCACGTGTCTATTACTTTTTTTTTTTTTATGTTCTCTATTTATAAGGGGTTCATTCAGGAAAAGCATGGCATTCGGTAGTATTAACTTTGTCAATAACGATGTTATTCTAAAATTCAGGTCGAAAAAAGACATGTGGTATAATGTTTGTAGACCTAATCGCATGTATGATTGAATATACACATACAATAATATATATAAGATTACATGTCTACATTGGGCCTATTTTTTTGAACC